GGAGCTTGACCTAATGGGTGATTTCCTTGAGGAAGTGATGTTTAAGCGGACATGTAAAAGGAAGACTTAGCCAGGTAGAGGGCGCTTGGGAGAGGGTTTGGGGAAAGGGCATGGAGCACATTCTAGGCAAAGGGTAGGACTGAGGCAGGTCGACGGACAAGTAGGAATCAGGACCTTATTCTGTGGTCATCGCTGAACACGACTGAATCGCAGAATGAGGGATGGGGGATGACGTGATTAGACTTCTGCTTTATAAATTTAATTTGTTTCTGAGTAGAGAATGGGTTATAGTCCAGGCAAGAAATGAAAAAGACCTCTAGTAGGGTGATAGAAGTGAAAGTGTGGAGGAATAAATGCATTCAGGAACTTTGAGGAGAGAGAATGAATATCATTTGGAGGTCGGTTAGATGTGGGAGAAGAGGAGGGCTCCCAGGTTACTGGTTTGAACAACTGGGAGAATGGGAGTGCCGTGTTTTAAGAGTTGGAGAGGTCAGGGCCCCGTCCTGGGTCACAGGCTTAGGGTGTATCTCTTCTGTGGGTAACCCTGATTATTGGGACTGGGATGAACCCCTCATAAGGCCAGAAGAGAGGGACCCACTAAACCTAGCACTGAGGTACTGGAAGATGCCTATTTCCCCATTTCCTTTCTTTCAAAGGCTTTTCAAAAGCTCTTTGTTCATCTGTGTCTTTTTGACATCTCTGGAAGAGCAGAAAGCATTTTACCCTTTGTATAGCCGGAGGTCCCAAAGCTTGTATAAGTAAAAGCCCCAAAGGTTCACTTGATTCTGCCCTGGATCACTTAGCTCAGGAATGGTCAAGCCTGGGAGATGGGAGGTATGAGGGTCCCACTGCCTGACTGACATGAAAAAAGAGCTCATAGGCTGTGGGCTTCTCATTTCCACTCTTCTGCACCTAGGAACCTTGTACTGAATGAAACAACTGCAGTTACGCTGTGGGGTGGGGAGATTATAAAGGAGGCATCCTGGCCATGTGGGAGGCTGGGAAGGCCCCTGATGTGACAGCTTCATGTTTCTTAATTTTCTGCCTGTGTCTTTGCAGCTTCCCGAGGACTCTGGAAACCGGGAGAGCTGCCTGCTGTGTCAAGGCTGGCCTGAGGGCATTTGCTGAGCACAGAGAAACCCAAGAGAGATCAACAGTCTTTTCTCACCCATCTCTTTGATCTGTCTGATTACCCACAGAAAGCCAGCCAGGATCCCCTAAGAGTTTCTAGGCCCAGAATGTAGTGCTCAGGGCTGCAGGGGACTGTGATACTCACAGTTAAACATGCTCAGAACTTGAAAGAGTTGAAGGGAACTAACAGTATCCTCAGTATGGCATCCTAAATCTGAATAAACTGGCAACTCCTACTGTGTCATTCCCAATTTGCCTGCTTCCCGGTAGCCTCCAGCAGATCTGGCTAGAACAGCCTACCAGTACCCACCCCCACCTCCTATTCCCCTCTCTGTCACACCTGTGTTGTGGGTGCCAGCCCGGGAGCCCTTGGACACTTCCAGAGGGCTCCCGGAAAGAGACTGGTCGCCACCTCTAATAAGCTGAGGAAAGTCGAGTGGGAAAGTTCATTTACTTGGGGCAAATTATTTAAACTCTGCACCTGTTTTTCTCTTCATTGTTGATTACTAAACTTGTTCAGAAAGCTCTTCAAGGGTAGGGCTTTCCCTGTACTGTATCACTCCCCCAGCAAACATCCAGCACTGAGGGGCTCAATAAAAGTTTGGTCAAGTGGTGATGAGTGGTCCCACTCTGGTAGCTTCTATCAACTTTGGGAGAGAGCCAAAGCCACCCCTGTGTAGCCCCCAGGGGCTTCCTTCCAGTTGTATTAGGCTACTAGCTGTTTACCCTTGTGTTTCCTCTTGAAGGACTGGAAGGTCAGCCATTTGATACAGACTTCTGGTTTCTTATGACCTAATGTCCTAGGCTGGTTTCACACTGAGCTTCCTGCGAGGTTAGGGACCTATTCTACTGCACTCTTCCCTTAATGCCTTCTGCTATTCACCCTAACAAGGGATCAAGGGGAAGGGCTAAGTCTGGGGAGAAAGCCTGTCTTTTTTTTTTTTTTTTTTTAATTGATTTTAGGGAGGGAGAGAGAAACATTGATTTGCTGTTCCACTTAATTTATGCATTCATTGGTTGATTCTTATATGTGCCCTGACTGGGGATCAAACCCACAACCTTGATGTATATCAGGACAACGCTCTAATCAACTGAGCTACCTGGCCAGGGTGAGCGTGTCTGCCTTTTAACTGAGCCTGGGGTGTTGTAATCTTAGATTTATTCTTAGCAGGAAAGGGATATTGAAATCAGTTGATTTACTTTGGGCAAGTTATTTAACCCCTGAACACATTTTTATCTTCACTACTGATTACTATGAATAATACCTAATAATTTATTGAATGCTTAGTATGTACCGGGTAATATGTCAAGCATTTATATTTACTGTTTCACTTAATCCTCCAACCCATTACACTCATTTCACATGTAAGAAAACAGGTTCAGCCCTGGCTGGTGTAGCTCAGCGGATTGAGCGCGGGCCTGCGAACCACATGATCGTGGTTCGATTCCCAGTCAGGGCACATGCCTGGGTGGCAGGCCAGTTCCCAGCAGGGGATGCATGAGAGGCAACCATACATTGATTTTCTCCCTCTCTCCTTCCCTTCCCCTCTAAAGATAAATGAATAAAATATTTTAAAAAGAAAACAGGTTCAGAGATACATAAATGTACCTAAGGTTGAAAAAAGGGAGCTATTAGATTTTCATAGTCCCTGCTTTTGACCTGTTTGTACCTCTCATAGCCACCGCTATTTTGAAGCAGTAAGGCATTGTGTTGGTGTAAAGATTTGTTAAGGATGATGAACTGTCAGGTTTACCCAGATCTGAGAGGTTTCTTGGGATGTAGAACTGGGGGTGCTGAAACTAGAAACATCCCAGGGAGATTGATGCAGGTTTGTCAAACCTGAGTTTGCACCGAGACTCAGCCCAGGATCGCCCACTGAGGCGGCAGTTCCTTGGTTTCTCGGTCTCCTAGGCCTTCCCTTTTGACCAGAGCTCTGTAGCGTTTGAGCACCTGCTTCAGTTCAGCAGGCAGGGTGGAGTTGGGGCTGAGGTAACATCCTGGTCACAAATAAATGGAGCCACAGAGCTTGGTTTGGGGTCATCATCTGAGAGGCCAGCACTAAGTTCCTAGGCAGCTATATGCTCCAGGTGCAGGGTGTCTACTTGGGAGCCAAGGAGTTTTACAGAAAATACATCTGGATTCAAATCCTAGCTCATCACTTACCATGTCTTTTTCTGGGCCTCTACACCATACAAGTAGTATAATCCTACACTGAATGGGATCTGAGAAGCAAATGGAATGTGTGTGAAATCCCTAGCACAGGGTCTATATGTAATACCTCTCAACACTTGAGTTTCCTCCTTTTTTCTGACGTTTTCCTTACCCCGTCCTGTCACCTGTCACATCTATCACATACAGACTCCTCCCTTGTCTCATTAACACTTACAGCCTTAGGGAACTTTTCTTGGAGAGCCCCTGTCTATTGGGCTTGGCTCACACACCCAGCCACCCTGCATGTCAGTCACCTCCCCTGCAAGCAAAGAAGGAATGACATCAAACTTCCGCCCCCCCTCCCATCAGAAGTCTCTGGACTCGAGTCATAAATATTTTAGCTGGGCTTTTCTCTGACTGTTGCCAGGTCGATGGTCTCTCAGGGGACTGGGGTGAGAGTGGGGCTGGGCTGGCAGCCTGAGGCCAGCAGCAGAGCTGGCCCTGGAAGGGCGGTAGGAAGCCTGGCATAGAGCCCGTGCCAGCTTTGGCAATTCTAAAGGCTGTTGCTCTGTTGGCCTGCCCTCCCTTTCCTGGGCCCCTCAGAGCCACTCCTGTGTGTTTCCAGGTCCACCTCTGCCCTTGAGTGCTACTTGACCTTGGGTAAATTGCTAAATGTCTTCAGGTTTTCATTTTAATATCTGCAGCACACACACACACACACACACACACACACACACAAAAAAAAAAACCCTGCTTTGCTCAGTGCAAGTAAGCAGAGAAGACAAAGGTTCTGTAAAATATCATGAAATGCGAGGTTAGTAAGCAGTCATGATTGGAGAAGCTAGACCCTGTAACCCTTTCGTGTAGTCCTCAAGGCTGGAGTCCCAGGGCAACGCCAGGTAAGGCACTGCCTCCCTTTCTCCTCCATTCCTCACACTGTGGCCCTGCCCCTCTTCTAAGGTTCCCAAGTCTAGCCAGATTACCTGACCTGGCATCAGATATTTTAAGGAGTAGGGCTCAGTGGTTGTAAGCAGAGTCGGTGAAAGCCCTTTTTACTTGAGATACAGGAAGAAATTCAGGCCCCCAAACTAGATCTGGCCCTCCTCCTCTAGCCCCCCATCCTGGAGATCTAGGTTGTAACAGTATGCCCCACCCCTGGGTCTAAGAAAAGGGGGCCAGAATGGGGGCACCTGTACCCAGGCCCCACCCCTACCACTGAGGAGCTCTGGATGGCTCCAGGATTCCACATCCCTATTCAGACTTGCCCACCACAATTTTCCCGTTGAGCTGAGAGCTCTGATTTCTTTGTATTGAGCTCCCTCTGGTGGTTGTTGATATGTATCTTGCAGGAATATAAAATCTCAAAAATGAGACAGGTTGGGAGGGTTTACTCTATAATGAGGAGAAGGGTTTTTGTCTCAAGAGAGTCATTACGTTTCTCTTTTTCTCTTAAAGATGTTTATTTTTCTTTAGAGAGAGGAAGGGAAAAAGAAAGAAAGGGAGAGACACATCAGTCGTTTGCCTCTCTCAATGCCCTAACTCACATGCCCTAACTGAGACCTGGCCCACAACTCAGGCACGTGCCCTGACCAGGAATCCAACTGGTGACCTCAGTTTGCAGGGTGATGCTCAACCCACTCAGCCACACCAGTCGGGGCCATTCCGTTGTGGGGTTTTTTTCCCCTGAACAGGTTTTGTTACACGGAGGGCATGGGGTTCAGTCCTTGGCTGCTGCCTTCCTCATGACTGCAAGGACATCGCTCAGCTCCTCTCTCTTCCTCTTGGCATGGATGTCTGTCCCCACCCTTTTCTTGATGAATTTCAGGACCCACTTGTCAGAGACCTTGAGCAGCTCCATGGCACGCCACTCATAGGGGACAAAGCCACACACCTCTGAGATTATGTCCCGCACGAATTTGGTGTGCTGGGTGAGGTGCCCACGGTGGCAGCTGTACCTCGGCTTGCTCACGTTCTTTGTCACTTTGTGGTCCTTGTGGATGCCCACAGCCGTGGGGTAGCAGAGAGCCATGGCTGCTGTGGGGGAAGGGTTGACACCACTCGGAACTCTCCCATTTTTATATAGGATGTTCCAACCATCTCTTTGCTTCTCTTTGTCATTAATCCTCGCAGCAATTCAATGAGGTAGAAATTACCCTCATTTTACAGATGAAACAAGCTTAGGTAGTTGAAACCAACTTCAAACTCTTTAATGTACGTAACAGTCAAGATCCCCAAATGATATAAACTTAACCTATTTTTCCAGCTTCATCTTCAGTTACTCTCAAGCCAAAATGGACTTGCTCTTTTGGAACATGACCTCTGGACCTTTGCTCATGCTGTTCCTTCCATGTTCACTGCTTCCCCCCACCAAGACATTACCTAACAAAATCCTCTATTTGAAAAACTGAAGAAATTGTTATTTTTTTAAGCTTTCATGTATTGTCTTTGTAATAAGCACATATAAAACATGGAAGGCAAATGTCTGGATGACAAGGGGTGGGTGGGGCCTAGGATTTGGGAGGGGAGACTGAGGTATACATGAAGTGAGCATGGTCCCAGAAATTAGAAGGACAGGAATTCACCTGGATTATCTCTTGCAGGCTCTCGTAGTAAAACTCCGATGTAAGTATTCTTTAAAGAATGTAGTTGATAGCCCAGGACAAGTGGCTCAGTCAATGGGAGCATCGTGCTGTGCACCAGATGGTTGAAGGTACGATCCCTGGCCAGAGCATGTGATCTGGAGGCAGCCAATCGATGTTTCTTCCTCCCATCGAGGTTTCTCTCTCCCTTCTCTGTCTCTCGAATCAATAAGCATGTCCTCAGGTGAGGATTAAAAAAGAATATAGTTGACATACAGTATTAGTTTCAGGTGTACCACATACTGAGTGAGTCAACATTTAAATACCTCAAAATGATTACATTGAGCTTAGTAACAATCTATCACAACACAAAGTTATTATGTTATTGACTATAGTCTTATGCTGCACATCACATCCCTGTAATTTAATTATTTTATGATTGGAATTTGTATGTCATTCCCCTTCACCATTCCCCCCACTCATCCCCCTACTCCCCTCTGGCAACCATCATTTTGTTCTCTATGAAGTCTGCTTCTATTTTTTAAATTTTATTTATTTATTTATGTGTTTATTTATTTATTTAGGGAAGGGAAGGGAGAGAAACAATGTGTGGTTGCCTCTTGCCACCCTCCCCCACTGGGGACATGGCCCGCAACCCAGGCATGTGCCCTGACTGAGGATCAAACAAGTGACCCTTTGGTTCACAGGCCAGTGCTCAATCCACTGAGCCACACCAGCCAGGGCAAGTCTGTTTCTATTTTGTTCATTTCTCTTGCAGTTTAGATTCCATTTATAAATGAAATCCTACAGTATTTGTCTGTTTCTCTGTCTAATTTCATTTAGTACATTACCCTCTAGGCCCATCCATGTTGCAAATGGCAAGATTTTGTTCTTTTTAATGGCTGAGTGATATGCCACTGTATATCACACCATCTCTGCCCATTCCTGTATCAACAGACAACTCAAGGTTGTTCCATACCTTGGCTGTTGTAAACAATGCTGCAGTGAACATAAGGGTGCCTATATCTTTTCAAATGACTGTTTTCATGTTTGGATAAATACACAAGGATGAATTGCTGGATCACTCTATTTTTAATTTTTTCGAAGAGCCTCCAAACTGTTTTGCACAGTAGTTGCTCTAATTTACATTCCCACCAGCAGTGCACAGGGTTTCCCTTTTCCCCACAGATGTAACTACTCTTGCTGGCAGAAGAAAGTGAGAGCCAATCCCTGCACAGCTGGGTCAGAGCTGCAGGTGACATTTCTTCAAAGTCTTGGACCTTAAAATTACACTAGTTTTCTTTGCACTTCATAATATATCCATGTTTTCACAATAATAGTTAATGCTTGAATGGTACTTATTGTGCCTCAGATACTGTTCTAAGTCCTTTACACAGACTAACTTAATTTTTACTGTAATCTCATAAGATAGGTATTGATACTACCTTCCTAGTTTGGGGAAACTGAGGCACAGAGAGGTTAAGTAATCCTAAGGTCATGCAACTAGTAAGCGGTAGAACCAGGATTTGAATTCATTTAAGTCTGGCTCAGAGAGGGTCCTCTGAATAATTACATTTTGATATTGAAAATATTGCCTTACGCCCTGGCTGGTATAGCTCAGTGGATCGAGCGCAGGTCTGTGAACCAGAGTATCACGGTTCGATTCCCAGTCAGGGCACATGCCTGGGTTGCAGGCCAGTTCCCAGCAGAGGATGCATGAGAGGCAACCGTACATTGATATTTCTCTCCCTCTCCCTTCCCTTCCCCTCTAAAGATAAATAAATAAATAAAATATTTTTTTAAAAAAAAAGAAAATATTGCCTTACGTTTCCATGAATTAAACTGGCACTCCAGAAAGCAGTATTGTGTTTTGCCCTGTGGTTTCAGCACCCCCGCTGTGTACCACCAAAGGCCTGCATATTCCAGGTTGAAAACTACTGATCTAGAGGACAGACATGCCAGCCTTGGCCCCAGAATAACATGACCAAGGAAGAGAGTCTAACTCCTGACACCCAATGACACAGAACTGGCCTAGAGCCAGTGGCATTTCCTCAAAATTTCAGTCTCCTGGAAGAGCCAATAGAGAGCAAGTTATCAGGAAATGAAGACACAGGGAAGGGAAATGAGGGCTTCAAGGTCAGGAAACAGCTGAGATGACTGGCCTCAGGTTTGGAGAACAGAACCTAACCAACATCCTGCCATCTCACAATTATTTTCCCCAGAGGGCCTGTACGAAAAGACTAGACCCTGATATTTATGCTAGAGACTGATAGAAGTGTATATTCTGGAAGGTTTCAGATGCGGTTGTCAGACATCAAACACAAACTGGCTTTTTGAATAGAAAAGTCCACAGACTTCAGATATGGTTGTGTTTCCTTCATTGTCTGTTAAGTTCTCCCTGAAAGTAGCAAGATACCCACCAAGAGTTCCACGCTTACATCCTATTTGCTTAGCCATTCCAGAAGTTAAAATTATTTCCCAATAATTCTAGCAAAGATCCTAGAATTGCATCTCATTTGGCCTGCAGCGGGTCACTGCCACGCCCTCCCCACCTTCCTGCAACCAGTCACTGTCACAGGGGTGGGTGGCAGGGATGGAACATTGTAATTCACCAGGCCGGGGCCATCTACCCACACTGGAACCTCTCAGTGAGGCATCTGCACAAAACCGCAGGAACTGAGTGGAAGGAGGAGTAGTCCCCAAGGGAAAATCAGTGTTCTTACCAGAAGACAGAATAAACAGATGCTGGGCAGGCAAAACCAATAGTCAACCTGTACAAGGTCAGGCAAAAGCCACAGGCAATGGGTCACATGCATAACAGTTCGTTTGAGGGAACTCTTACCCTGGGTGGTATAAATGTCCTAAAATCCATTTGGCAAATATTTTCAGAGGATTCACCATGCACAACGTCCAGCACCTTCCACATAATAAATGCAGAGCAAGGCATTCCTCTGCCACCACCTCCAGTAAGACAGTTACCAGACTCAAGCTATTGCTTCCTCCCATAGGAGTGTAACAGGCAGACTCCTCTTCATCTCTCAGAAACCAGCTCTGATTTCATCTCCCACAAAGCCACCTCTTGCCTACCACCACTGTCAGAGTTAGTCACCTTCCATCCACTCCTGAACTTGATACATACTGATAATGTCACCATACCATAAAATGATTCTTCTCTTTGTCTCCTTCAGTAATAAGGGGCATGTAGCTCTGTATCCCTAGTGTCCATGATATATTAGCTGCTCAATAAAGTTTATTGGCCTGAGTTAAAATGAGTTCCCGGGTATGGCTTGTCCTCAGGCTTCTATACAATATTTCTAAAACCATTTAGCTTCCCTCCCCAATTAGCCTTCCTTTCAAGAGTTAGCTTGCCATTATCTCAATTCAACTGAATTAAAACTTACTTTGAATGCCTATCATATGCCAGGTAGTATTATGCTTTGAGGATTCAGAAATTAATGAGCTACAGTTCAAACTCTAAAGGGACCAGAACCAGTTCTTCTTCTACCAGAATTTCTTTAGCTGAGAAAAAAAAATTTCTGCCCTGGTTTCTACTCTGCTTTGTTTTGTGGTCATTCTCCTCCCTCTCCCCAGCCCCCACCACTTCCAGGCCTTTTTTTTTTTTCCCTAGAAGGGGGGCCCTGACTTGGTGTAAAATCTAGAACAGATGTGTATGTGTGGAATTAAACTCCATATTTTCGTTTGCCTAAACTAAAAACCTTGGAGTAATCTTTTATCTTCTCTTCCACATATCTGTCAACAAATCCTGTTGACTTTCACTTCAAATCCAAAATCCAGTCATGTCTTATCATTTCACTGAATCTGGTACCACTCATTAACATCTCTTCCTAAGGTCATTGCCATAGGGTCGTCTGTTTTTTATTTATCTTTAGAGGGGAAGGGAAGGAGAGAGGGAGAAAAATATCAATGTATGGTTGCCTCTCGTGCGTCCCCTGCTGGGAACTGGCCTGCAAGCCAGGCATGTGCCCTGACTGGGAATCAAACCACGATCCTTTGGTTGGCAGGCCTGCATTTAATTCACTGAGCTACACCAGCCAGAGCCTCGTGTCTGGTTTTGTTTCCAACCTTGTGCCCCTACATTCTTATCTCAGGTCACAGTGAGTCTTTATTTTTTATTTATTTTTAAAATATTTTATTTATTCATTTATGTATAGAGAGAAGGGAATGGAGGGAGAAAAAGAGGATGAGATGAGAAACATGGTCATGTGTGAGAGAAACATAGATTGATTGATTGCCTCGTGTGCACCTCAGCTGGGGACCTGGCAGGGCAACCCAGGCATGTGCCCCTGCCGGGAATTGAACCATCGGTCTCTTGGTTCACAGGCTGAAACTCAATCCACTGAGCCACACCAGCCAGGGCCACAGTGAGTCTTTAAAAATGGAAGTTCAAACCTTCCAACTGCTCCCCATCTTCCTTAGAATAAAGCCACAC